TTTCCCAAAATCAACAGAGACAATTGTTGGAACACATATGGTGCCAAGCCCAAACAAGGCAAAGCTAATGATAACAAGAGTGTCATAATGCCACAGCAAAAATCTTTAATTACAAGAAACCGCTTTTCACCACTTTTGGAAGATGAATCAGCAGTAGTCTCTACAACAAAGCTGCTAAAAACTGCAGCGCCTCCACCAAGGACAAACTGTGTCCTTATCGGAGATGGCTCGGTGAAAAATGTAAACATGGAGTCCATGCTCACTGTCTCAGTTCACTCTGCTAAAGTTGCTGAGATAAGAACTCTTCTGCCTAAAGTGTTATCTGAGAACAGTGGTGTGCGTACATTATTGATCCACACGGGGGCGGTAGATATCTATGAGAAGGCAAGCGAGAAGTTACGAATGGATTTAACGCTGTTACTGGATGACCTCAAGAAAATGGACATAACAATTTTTCTTAGTGGCCCACTGCCAAATATAGATGGAAAAATGGAGAAGTTTAGCCGTCTGTATCAGCTAAATACATTCCTACTCAATGAGTGTTCACGCAGAGGACTTGGCTTCATTGAAAACTTTAATCTGTTCTGGAATAGGCACGAGCTTTTTGAAGAAAAAGGCCCACATCTGAACAACTACGGAGTAAAAGTGCTGATGGATAACTTTGCATCTGCCCTAAGACCTCAGCCTGCGCAGCGCGTGCAGCCGTTGAAAGGGAGAAAGAAGAAGCAAAGGGCACAGACATCACGACCATCTCCACCGACTCCCGAGGTCTCTGCACCCCCACCGCCTCAAAAGAACTCCACACCTCCACGATTCATGAAGAACTCAACACCTCCAAGGTTCCAAAAGAACTCAACACCTCCACGGCTTCGAAAGAGCTCAACGCCTCCACCCCCAGCATCATCAGCAGCTGCCACATCTTCATCAGCGCCATCAGCATATACAGCACCACCAGCAGCAGTGGATACAGCCGCAGCAGTGGCTGCTCCATCATCTTCAGCAGCAGCAGTGGCTGCTCCATCATCTTCAGCAGCAGCAGTGGCTGCTCCATCATCTTCAGCAGCAGCAGTGGCTGCTCCATCATCTTCACCAGCAGCAGTGGATACAGCAGCAGCAGTGGCTGCTCCGTCATCTTCAGCAGCACCTTCCCCACCTACAGCTCCCGTGAAGCTTCCCCCATTACTCCAGGCTACAGACAGGCCTGTACTGGGGGTTCCTCAACCACCTCTGTCTCCACCAAAGACTCCCTCATCACCTTCCATGGACCCGGCTTGGGTCCCCCCCGATACATCCACTCCATCTAGGGAAAATGAGGACGACCTTTCCCTTTGTTTTCTATCCCCGCCTTCACTACTGGATTTACCGGAACACTCTGCAGGCATGATAAGATCGGCGATGAAGACTATTCCTCTCACACCCACTGTAGCCAGATCAAGAGTCCTATCTAACATTCAAAACTACTCCCCATACGTACCTCCAAAGCCACCTAGGGCGTCCAACTCAAATTCTCCCACAAAATCCACCCGTCCCTCCTCTAACCCCATAAGTATTCCACCCCCCCCCTCCTGCTCATTTAGCCCACCTCCCCCCCCCTAACTCAGCACCAAGAAACCCTCCACCTCCACTCCCCCCTCGTCCACCACCCAACTCAGCCTGCCCCTCCCCTAACCCATCACCAAAACCCATCCACCTCCCTGCCCCCCTCGTTCAACACCCAAAAGCCACCCACCTCTCCATCCTCCTCCCCCGCCTTCCCCTTCCCCTCTTTTCTCTAAACACTAGGATGCACAGGGTCTCTGCTTCGCAGCCACTGGCAGTCTAGTTAGAGGAGAGACCCGGCTGGGGCCCTGTCATGAAGCCACCTGTGCCATTCCCTTAGTGATAACACAAAGAATACATTACAGAAAAACATCTGGAGTTAATCAGTCTAATCTGGAAAATCTAATTCTTGTTCCGTGTAAGAATCATCCGACCGCAACCGCTGATACTGAAACTTTGAAACTTGCTACGCTTAATGTCAGATCTCTTTGTAACAAGTCTTTTTTAATCAATAATTTTATTTCTTCTCATAATCTTGATCTTATGTTCATGGCTGAAACTTGGCTTGACCAAAATTCAGAAAATGCAGTTTTAATAGAAGCATCACCACCAAATTTCAAGTTTGAATCTGAAATACGGGAAAACAAAAAAGGAGGAGGCTTAGCTGCCATTTTCAGAGACCACTTTGTCTCCCATAGAATGTCTCTTGGGAAGTTTTCGTCATTTGAATATGTGTCTTTTAAAATACAACAAAAACAATCTCCTCCAATACTCTTCGTTGTCCTATACAAGCCACCGCAGTCATGTCACAGTTTTATTGATCATTTTACCGAGTTGCTTTCAGTTGTATGCACAGATTTTGATAGTTTGGTTATTACAGGTGATTTTAATATTCATGTGGATAATGTTGATGACAGAAATGCAAATGAGCTGAGTTCTGTACTTGAATCCTTTGATCTCACTCAGCACGTAAGTGGCCCCACCCACAGCAGAGGGCACACTCTAGATCTGTTAGTTACAAAGGGGGTGATTATTTCAAATGTAAACGTGGTCGATGTTGCTCTTTCGGATCATTTCTGTGTTTTTTTTGACATGTGTTTCACTAACAAACCACCAGTGGACTCTGCAACTGTTCGAAGAAGGCGCATAAATGAAAATACGAGTGAACTATTTATGGAAATGATAAACTTTGAGAATGCATCGTATTCTACTGTAGATGAACTGTTTAACTCTGTCACCTCTAGTGTTTTGAATGTTCTGGATACCGTTGCCCCTGTGAAGGTTAAAATAGTGAAAAATAAGCAGAAGGCGCCGTGGGCTAAAGCAGACTCGGTCAGGGCACAAAAGAGAAAGTGCCGGAGGGCCGAGCGGAAGTGGCGCAAGTCCAACCTCCAGGTAGATTACGAGATCTTCAAAGACAAGTTGTGCGAGTTTAACCGGGTGCTACGTAGTACGAGAGAAAGGTATTTTTCTGAAATGATTGAAGGCTGCAGCAACAATCTGCGTGTTCTGTTCTCAACAGTTAATAGATTAACAAACCCCCCTGTTCAAATGCCATCAGTGCTTACTTCCAAACGTAAATGCAATGAGTTTGCTAATTTTTCAATGACAGGGTTCAAGGCATCAAAAGCGCCATTGTCTCCAATCCACAGATAACCATCCAACAGCCAGAAAGGCTCTCTGAGCTAACTCACTTTGCACCTGTAAATGATAAAACTGTCCAAGAGATAATCTCCAGTTTGAGCTCCTCTACATGCAGCTTGGATGTACTACCCACTAGATTTCTGAAGTCTGTTCTGAGCAGTCTGTTACCTTCACTCACACAGATAGTAAACATGTCCCTTCATTCTGGAATATTCCCAAAGGCCCTGAAAACTGCAGTCATCAGGCCCCTGCTAAAAAAGAGCAGTCTGGATGCCACTGTACTTAACAACTATCGTCCCATCTCAAATCTGCCATTTATGGGGAAAGTCCTTGAGAAAGTTGTCTACCTACAGCTTACTAGATTTCTTATAATCAACAACTCATTTGATATGTTTCAGTCCGGCTTTAGACCCCACCACAGCACTGAGACTGCTCTCGTTAAGGTTACAAACGATATCCGGCTGAACACTGACGCAGGCAAAGTCTCAATCTTAATCTTGTTAGATCTAAGTGCTGCCTTTGACACCGTCGACCATGAGATCCTCTTACAGAGACTAGAGGACTGGGTTGGCGTCACTGGCACCGCCCTAAGTTGGTTTAGGTCTTACCTTGAAGACAGGAAGTACTTTGTGGAGATTGGAAACTGTGTCTCAGATCATATGGCCCTGACCTGTGGAGTCCCACAGGGGTCGATCCTGGGACCTCTTCTGTTCAATCTCTACATGCTGCCGTTAGGTCAGTTAATACGCAGAAACAAAGTGTCCTATCACAACTATGCAGACGACACTCAGATCTATGTCTCACTGACTGCAGGAGAACATGGACCAGTGGACTCACTCCTTCACTGTATCCAACAGATCAGTGAGTGGATGCAAAACAACTTCCTTCAGCTAAACGCAGACAAAACTGAAATGATTGTCTTTGGTCCCCAGAAACAAAGAGAGAGCGTCATCTGTCACCTACAGTCTCTCTCCCTAAAACCTTCAAACAAGGTCAGAAATCTAGGGGTAATACTGGACTCAGACTTAAATTTTAATAGCCACATCAAATCAGTAACATCAGCAGCTTTTTACCATCTAAAAAACATTGCCAGGATCAAAAACATAGTGTCTAAAGCAGACCTGGAGATTCTTATCCATGCATTTGTCTCCAGTAGGTTAGACTACTGCAATGGCCTGCTCACAGGTCTGTCCAAACAGGCTGTAAAACAGCTGCAGTACATTCAAAATGCAGCAGCTCGAGTCCTGACAAGAACCAGGAAGTACGACCACATTAGTCCAGTCCTCAGGTCTCTGCACTGGCTTCCTGTGGCTCAGAGAATAGACTTTAAAACAGCTCTGCTTGTGTACAAGTCTCTCCATAGCCTCGCACCAAAATATATTAGTGACATGTTAGTCCCATATGAACCAGCCCGGACTCTGAGGAGCACAGGGACTGGACTCCTGTTAGTGCCCAGAGTCAGAACTAAACATGGGGAGGCTGCTTTTCAGATTAATGCTGCTAAAATCTGGAACAGTCTTCCTGAAGATGTGAGACAGGCCTCCTCTCTGACAATGTTTAAAACCAGGTTAAAGACGGTTCTGTTTAACTGTGCATACAACTGAGGGATTTTATATTTTTATCTTTCTTTTTAATGTTCTGTGATAATTTATGATTTTAATGCTTTCTTGTTTTGTTCAGCACTTTGAATTGCCTTGTGTATGAATTGTGCTATATAAATAAACTTGCCTATAGTCTGTGTTAGCATTAGCATCTGTACAGCCAGTGTTAGCATTAGCATCTGTACAGTCTGTTAGCATTAGCATCTGTATAGTCTGTTAGCAGCACCTGTTGTGGTCGTCCTTCTCCATGAGGGTGGGGTGTGGTCTGAACACCAGCTCGATCTCGCTCGCTCCTCCGTCTAGAGCAGAGTCTCCGCCGCCGTTCTCCGCTGCGTTGTCCATGTCCAGGCCGCTGTCGTCGCTGGTCTTTGTGCGTTTGATACTGGGACCGGCCTCCTGCGACAACACAACAGTCACACATTCAGACGGAGACGCACAACACGACAGTCACACATTCAGACGGAGACGCACAACACAACAGGCACACATTCAGACGGAGACGCACAACACAACAGTCACACATTCAGACGGAGACGCACAACACGACAGTCACACATTCAGACGGAGACGCACAACACAACAGTCACACATTCAGACGGAGACGCACAACACGACAGTCACACATTCAGACGGAGACGCACAACACAACAGTCACACATTCAGACGGAGACGCACAGTCGGTCAGAGGGGTCAATGTTTGTCATATTTTGTGGCCCCTGGAGGAACTAGGGCTGTCCCAAAATACTGCAATCAAGACCAGAGAGAGACCAGAGAGACGACACCAGAGAGACGACACCAGAGAGACGACACCAGAGAGACGACACCAGAGAGACGACACCAAAGAGACGACACCAGAGAGACGACACCAGAGAGACGACACCAGAGAGACGACACCAGAGAGACGACACCAGAGAGAGAGAAAGATCAAATATCCAGATATTATACATATATCCCATAAAAATAGGGATAGAAGGTGTTCACACCGAGTTATCTGAGGACTTTACACATGTGTGAACCACCAACGGAAATGACTAAGAATGTAATGATGTCATCTTTCGCCCCCACACACACACACACAGAGACACACACACACACAGAGACACACACAGAGACACACACAGCACCTGGTTGCTGTGGACAGATGCGTTGCTACAGTGGGAGGAGTCTCCGTTGTCCTCGGCGCCGCTGCCGTTCTCCACCGTGTTTCGTTTGCCGCGCTGCAGTCTGAAAAACACAGGTCACACTGATCACCACGACTGTCCCTCAGAGAGCAGCTCCAGGGACAGACTGATCTACACCACTGTCCCTCAGAGAGCAGCTCCAGGGACAGACTGATCTACACCACTGTCCCTCAGAGAGCAGCTCTAGGGACAGACTGATCTACACCACTGTCCCTCTGAGAGCAGCTCCAGGGACAGACTGATCACCACGACTGTCCCTCAGAGAGCAGCTCTAGGGACAGACTGATCTACACCACTGTCCCTCTGAGAGCAGCTCTAGGGACAGACTGATCACCACGACTGTCCCTCAGAGAGCAGCTCTAGGGACAGACTGATCACCACGACTGTCCCTCAGAGAGCAGCTCTAGGGACAGACTGATCACCACGACTGTCCCTCAGAGAGCAGCTCTAGGGACAGACTGATCTACACCACTGTCCCTCTGAGAGCAGCTCTAGGGACAGACTGATCACCACGACTGTCCCTCTGAGAGCAGCTCTAGGGACAGACTGATCACCACGACTGTCCCTCAGAGAGCAGCTCCAGGGACAGACTGATCTACACCACTGTCCCTCTGAGAGCAGCTCTAGGGACAGACTGATCTACACCACTGTCCCTCTGAGAGCAGCTCTAGGGACAGACTGATCTACACCACTGTCCCTCAGAGCAGCTCTAGGGACAGACTGATCTACACCACTGTCCCTCAGAGAGCAGCTCTAGGGACAGACTGATCACCACGACTGTCCCTCAGAGAGCAGCTCTAGGGACAGACTGATCACCACGACTGTCCCTCAGAGAGCAGCTCTAGGGACAGACTGATCACCACGACTGTCCCTCAGAGAGCAGCTCTAGGGACAGACTGATCACCACGACTGTCCCTCAGAGAGCAGCTCTAGGGACAGACTGATCACCACGACTGTCCCTCAGAGAGCAGCTCTAGGGACAGACTGATCTACACCACTGTCCCTCAGAGAGCAGCTCTAGGGACAGACTGATCACCACGACTGTCCCTCAGAGAGCAGCTCTAGGGACAGACTGATCTACACCACTGTCCCTCTGAGAGCAGCTCTAGGGACAGACTGATCACCACGACTGTCCCTCAGAGAGCAGCTCTAGGGACAGACTGATCACCACGACTGTCCCTCAGAGAGTAGCTCTAGGGACAGACTGATCACCACGACTGTCCCTCAGAGAGCAGCTCTAGGGACAGACTGATCTACACCACTGTCCCTCTGAGAGCAGCTCTAGGGACAGACTGATCACCACGACTGTCCCTCAGAGAGCAGCTCTAGGGACAGACTGATCACCACGACTGTCCCTCAGAGAGCAGCTCTAGGGACAGACTGATCTACACCACTGTCCCTCTGAGAGCAGCTCTAGGGACAGACTGATCTACACCACTGTCCCTCTGAGAGCAGCTCTAGGGACAGACTGATCACCACGACTGTCCCTCAGAGAGCAGCTCTAGGGACAGACTGATCACCACGACTGTCCCTCAGAGAGCAGCTCTAGGGACAGACTGATCACCACGACTGTCCCTCAGAGAGCAGCTCTAGGGACAGACTGATCACCACGACTGTCCCTCTGAGAGCAGCTCTAGGGACAGACTGATCTACACCACTGTCCCTCAGAGAGCAGCTCTAGGGACAGACTGATCACCACGACTGTCCCTCAGAGAGCAGCTCTAGGGACAAACTGATCACCACGACTGTCCCTCAGAGAGCAGCTCTAGGGACAGACTGATCTACACCACTGTCCCTCTGAGAGCAGCTCTAGGGACAGACTGATCTACACCACTGTCCCTCTGAGAGCAGCTCTAGGGACAGACTGATCTACACCACTGTCCCTCTGAGAGCAGCTCTAGGGACAGACTGATCTACACCACTGTCCCTCAGAGCAGCTCTAGGGACAGACTGATCTACACCACTGTCCCTCTGAGAGCAGCTCTAGGGACAGACTGATCTACACCACTGTCCCTCTGAGAGCAGCTCTAGGGACAGACTGATCACCACGACTGTCCCTCAGAGAGCAGCTCTAGGGACAGACTGATCACCACGACTGTCCCTCAGAGAGCAGCTCTAGGGACAGACTGATCACCACGACTGTCCCTCAGAGAGCAGCTCTAGGGACAGACTGATCACCACGACTGTCCCTCAGAGAGCAGCTCTAGGGACAGACTGATCTACACCACTGTCCCTCTGAGAGCAGCTCTAGGGACAGACTGATCTACACCACTGTCCCTCTGAGAGCAGCTCTAGGGACAGACTGATCTACACCACTGTCCCTCTGAGAGCAGCTCTAGGGACAGACTGATCTACACCACTGTCCCTCAGAGCAGCTCTAGGGACAGACTGATCTACACCACTGTCCCTCTGAGAGCAGCTCTAGGGACAGACTGATCTACACCACTGTCCCTCTGAGAGCAGCTCTAGGGACAGACTGATCTACACCACTGTCCCTCTGAGAGCAGCTCCAGGGACAGACTGATCTACACCACTGTCCCTCAGAGCAGCTCTAGGGACAGACTGATCTACACCACTGTCCCTCTGAGAGCAGCTCTAGGGACAGACTGATCTACACCACTGTCCCTCTGAGAGCAGCTCTAGGGACAGACTGATCTACACCACTGTCCCTCAGAGAGCAGCTCCAGGGACAGACTGATCTACACCACTGTCCCTCAGAGAGCAGCTCCAGGGACAGACTGATCTACACCACTGTCCCTCTGAGAGCAGCTCTAGGGACAGACTGATCTACACCACTGTCCCTCTGAGAGCAGCTCTAGGGACAGACTGATCACCACGACTGTCCCTCAGAGAGCAGCTCCAGGACAGACTGACTGACCCGACTGTCCCTCAGAGAGCAGCTCTAGGGACAGACTGATCTACACCACTGTCCCTCTGAGAGCAGCTCTAGGGACAGACTGATCTACACCACTGTCCCTCTGAGAGCAGCTCTAGGGACAGACTGATCACCACGACTGTCCCTCTGAGAGCAGCTCTAGGGACAGACTGATCTACACCACTGTCCCTCTGAGAGCAGCTCTAGGGACAGACTGATCACCACGACTGTCCCTCAGAGAGCAGCTCCAGGGACAGACTGATCACCACGACTGTCCCTCAGAGAGCAGCTCTAGGGACAGACTGATCACCACGACTGTCCCTCAGAGAGCAGCTCCAGGGACAGACTGATCTACACCACTGTCCCTCTGAGAGCAGCTCTAGGGACAGACTGATCTACACCACTGTCCCTCTGAGAGCAGCTCTAGGGACAGACTGATCTACACCACTGTCCCTCTGAGAGCAGCTCTAGGGACAGACTGATCACCACGACTGTCCCTCTGAGAGCAGCTCTAGGGACAGACTGATCACCACGACTGTCCCTCAGAGAGCAGCTCTAGGGACAGACTGATCACCACGACTGTCCCTCAGAGAGCAGCTCTAGGGACAGACTGATCACCACGACTGTCCCTCAGAGAGCAGCTCTAGGGACAGACTGATCACCACGACTGTCCCTCAGAGAGCAGCTCTAGGGACAGACTGATCTACACCACTGTCCCTCTGAGAGCAGCTCTAGGGACAGACTGATCTACACCACTGTCCCTCTGAGAGCAGCTCTAGGGACAGACTGATCTACACCACTGTCCCTCTGAGAGCAGCTCTAGGGACAGACTGATCTACACCACTGTCCCTCTGAGAGCAGCTCTAGGGACAGACTGATCTACACCACTGTCCCTCTGAGAGCAGCTCCAGGGACAGACTGATCTACACCACTGTCCCTCAGAGCAGCTCTAGGGACAGACTGATCTACACCACTGTCCCTCTGAGAGCAGCTCTAGGGACAGACTGATCTACACCACTGTCCCTCTGAGAGCAGCTCTAGGGACAGACTGATCTACACCACTGTCCCTCAGAGAGCAGCTCCAGGGACAGACTGATCTACACCACTGTCCCTCAGAGAGCAGCTCTAGGGACAGACTGATCACCACGACTGTCCCTCAGAGAGCAGCTCCAGGGACAGACTGATCACCACGACTGTCCCTCAGAGAGCAGCTCTAGGGACAGACTGATCTACACCACTGTCCCTCTGAGAGCAGCTCTAGGGATAGACTGATCACCACGACTGTCCCTCAGAGAGCAGCTCCAGGGACAGACTGATCACCACGACTGTCCCTCAGAGAGCAGCTCTAGGGACAGACTGATCTACACCACTGTCCCTCTGAGAGCAGCTCTAGGGACAGACTGATCACCACGACTGTCCCTCTGAGAGCAGCTCTAGGGACAGACTGATCTACACCACTGTCCCTCTGAGAGCAGCTCTAGGGACAGACTGATCACCACGACTGTCCCTCAGAGAGCAGCTCCAGGGACAGACTGATCTACACCACTGTCCCTCTGAGAGCAGCTCTAGGGACAGACTGATCTACACCACTGTCCCTCAGAGAGCAGCTCTAGGGACAGACTGATCTACACCACTGTCCCTCAGAGAGCAGCTCTAGGGACAGACTGATCACCACGACTGTCCCTCAGAGAGCAGCTCTAGGGACAGACTGATCACCACGACTGTCCCTCAGAGAGCAGCTCTAGGGACAGACTGATCACCACGACTGTCCCTCAGAGAGCAGCTCTAGGGACAGACTGATCACCACGACTGTCCCTCAGAGAGCAGCTCTAGGGACAGACTGATCTACACCACTGTCCCTCAGAGAGCAGCTCTAGGGACAGACTGATCACCACGACTGTCCCTCAGAGAGCAGCTCTAGGGACAGACTGATCACCACGACTGTCCCTCAGAGAGCAGCTCTAGGGACAGACTGATCACCACGACTGTCCCTCAAAGAGCAGCTCTAGGGACAGACTGATCACCACGACTGTCCCTCAGAGAGCAGCTCTAGGGACAGACTGATCACCACGACTGTCCCTCAGAGAGCAGCTCTAGGGACAGACTGATCACCACGACTGTCCCTCAGAGAGTAGCTCTAGGGACAGACTGATCACCACGACTGTCCCTCAGAGAGCAGCTCTAGGGACAGACTGATCTACACCACTGTCCCTCTGAGAGCAGCTCTAGGGACAGACTGATCACCACGACTGTCCCTCAGAGAGCAGCTCTAGGGACAGACTGATCACCACGACTGTCCCTCAGAGAGCAGCTCTAGGGACAGACTGATCACCACGACTGTCCCTCAGAGAGCAGCTCTAGGGACAGACTGATCACCACGACTGTCCCTCAGAGAGCAGCTCTAGGGACAGACTGATCACCACGACTGTCCCTCAGAGAGCAGCTCTAGGGACAGACTGATCACCACGACTGTCCCTCAGAGAGCAGCTCTAGGGACAGACTGATCACCACGACTGTCCCTCAGAGAGCAGCTCTAGGGACAGACTGATCTACACCACTGTCCCTCAGAGAGCAGCTCTAGGGACAGACTGATCTACACCACTGTCCCTCTGAGAGCAGCTCTAGGGACAGACTGATCACCACGACTGTCCCTCAGAGAGCAGCTCTAGGGACAGACTGATCTACACCACTGTCCCTCTGAGAGCAGCTCTAGGGACAGACTGATCTACACCACTGTCCCTCAGAGAGCAGCTCTAGGGACAGACTGATCACCACGACTGTCCCTCAGAGAGCAGCTCTAGGGACAGACTGATCACCACGACTGTCCCTCAGAGAGCAGCTCTAGGGACAGACTGATCACCACGACTGTCCCTCAGAGAGCAGCTCTAGGGACAGACTGATCACCACGACTGTCCCTCTGAGAGCAGCTCTAGGGACAGACTGATCTACACCACTGTCCCTCTGAGAGCAGCTCTAGGGACAGACTGATCTACACCACTGTCCCTCAGAGCAGCTCTAGGGACAGACTGATCTACACCACTGTCCCTCTGAGAGCAGCTCTAGGGACAGACTGATCTACACCACTGTCCCTCTGAGAGCAGCTCCAGGGACAGACTGATCTACACCACTGTCCCTCAGAGCAGCTCTAGGGACAGACTGATCTACACCACTGTCCCTCTGAGAGCAGCTCTAGGGACAGACTGATCTACACCACTGTCCCTCTGAGAGCAGCTCTAGGGACAGACTGATCACCACGACTGTCCCTCTGAGAGCAGCTCTAGGGACAGACTGATCACCACGACTGTCCCTCAGAGAGCAGCTCTAGGGACAGACTGATCACCACGACTGTCCCTCAGAGAGCAGCTCTAGGGACAGACTGATCTACACCACTGTCCCTCAGAGCAGCTCTAGGGACAGACTGATCTACACCACTGTCCCTCTGAGAGCAGCTCTAGGGACAGACTGATCTACACCACTGTCCCTCTGAGAGCAGCTCTAGGGACAGACTGATCTACACCACTGTCCCTCTGAGAGCAGCTCTAGGGACAGACTGATCTACACCACTGTCCCTCTGAGAGCAGCTCTAGGGACAGACTGATCTACACCACTGTCCCTCTGAGAGCAGCTCCAGGGACAGACTGATCTACACCACTGTCCCTCAGAGCAGCTCTAGGGACAGACTGATCTACACCACTGTCCCTCTGAGAGCAGCTCTAGGGACAGACTGATCTACACCACTGTCCCTCTGAGAGCAGCTCTAGGGACAGACTGATCTACACCACTGTCCCTCAGAGAGCAGCTCTAGGGACAGACTGATCTACACCACTGTCCCTCAGAGAGCAGCTCTAGGGACAGACTGATCTACACCACTGTCCCTCTGAGAGCAGCATGGAGACGGCGGTACCCGGTCATGGCCTGGTAGTCATGGAGACGGCGGTACCTGGTCATGGCCTGGATCTTCAGACCTTCCTCGATGCTGTTGGACAGGGCCTGCTGGTTGTTGTGTTTGCTGATTCGGGCCAGAACCCTCTCCTGGTGAGCCTCGTACTCGTCCCGACTGGGGTAAATCTTACCTACCGAGAGAGGGAGGGACAGAGGGAGGGAGGGACAGGGGGAGGGGGAGAGGGGGAGGGAGACAGACAGAGTTAGACAGGGCTCTGAGGCTGTAACGGTGCAGTACCTCTCACTTACTGATGAGGGCGTCGAAGTTTGGGTCCGGGCGCAACGACCGCTTTGACACCAGCTTTTTGCGACATGTCGGACATTCCTTGTTTCTGTGGGGATGATAAAAGATGTGACACAAACGTCTAAGAAACCTCAGGGACGTCTTTATTGGAGACATTTGTCTCGGTCATGACGCTGCAGTACATTTAAAACTACTAGAAAACCTCATTTTACACCAAATAATTATGATATAGTCAATGTGGCCTGGGTCTACGGCCTGGGTCTACGGCCTGGGTCTACGGCCTGGGTCTACGGCCTGGGTCTACGGCCTGGGTCTACGGCCTGGGTCTACGGCCTGGGTCTACGGCCTGGGTCTACGGCCTGGGTCTACGGCCTGGGTCTACGGCCTGGGTCTACGGCCTGGGTCCTGGGTCCTGGTCTGACCCGGAGCGCAGGGCGGTGATGATGCAGTCGGCGCAGAATCGGTGCAGACATTCCTTGGTGGTCATGGTGTTCTTGAGCATGTCCAGGCAGATGGGACACATGAGCTCGCTGTGCAGAGAGCGCGGGGACACGGCGATCTCCAGCCCGTCTGTGATGGCCTCCTGCAACACACCAGGCTGCTCAGACGGCTGCCTCCGCCAGAGAGAGACCAAAGAGAGGTCAGAGAGAGGTCAGAGAGAGGTCAGAGAGAGGTCAGAGAGAGACCAGAGAGAGGTCAGAGAGAGACCAGAGAGAGACCAGAGAGAGACCAGAGAGAGACCAGAGAGAGACCAGAGAGAGGTCAGAGAGAGACCAGAGAGAGACCAGAGAGAGGTCAGAGAGAGACCAGAGAGAGACCAGAGAGAGGTCAGAGAGAGACCAGAGAGAGACCAGAGAGAGACCAGAGAGAGACCAGAGAGAGACCAGAGACAGACCAGAGAGAGACCAGAGAGAGACCAGAGAGAGGTCAGAGAGAGGTCAGAGAGAGGTCAGAGAGAGGTCAGAGAGAGACCAGGGAGAGACCAGAGAGAGGTCAGAGAGAGACCAGAGAGAGGTCAGAGAGAGACCAGAGAGAGACCAGAGAGAGACCAGAGAGAGACCAGAGAGAGACCAGAGAGAGACCAGAGAGAGACCAGAGAGAGACCAGAGAGAGACCAGAGAGAGACCAGAGAGAGGGACCAGAGAGAGAGACCAGAGAGAGACCAGAGAGAGACCAGAGAGAGACCAGAGAGAGACCAGAGAGAGACCAGAGAGAGACCAGAGAGAGACCAGAGAGAGAGACCAGAGAGAGACCAGAGAGAGACCAGAGAGAGACCAGAGAGAGACCAGAGAGAGACCAGAGAGAGACATGGGACAGAGACCAGGAGGAGTTACCTGAGGAGTTCTCTGCAGCTCGTACAGACTCAGCTCCCAGGTCTTACTGAGGGGCTGGACCCCGTTGGTCTGGACCGTCTGTGTCATCTCTGCTTCTCTGCAACACATACACTTTATCTGTATGGCACACTTAATCCAAACACATGGTGTCAACACAGTAGTATTTACAGTCCTCTAACACATGACTAGAGACGGTCAGAAAAGACCTGCCCAGAGACTAACAGGGACTACAGTCTTTAGTTTAGCCTCAGCCACAGAAACTCACCAGGATTTCCACCAAAACAAACATGACCTCATCATTTAGTCAGAGAAACAATATTAATGATACATATTGAAATTAGGACAAGTTGAATAAAACAGATTCCAAACAAAAGATTAGATGAATTTTACAAATAAAGTAGATTGTGTGAACAGAAACAGCAACCCATAACCCTGCCCCACAAACCTGCCCCATAACCCTGCCCCACAACCCTGACACTGGAGGAGTATCTCAAAACACTTCCTTTAATAACAACGACAGGAGCTAAAACCTGCACAAACAACAATATTAACACACATTTCCCACTCTTCCATCAACACCTCCCAGTCTCCTGCCCCTACAGCACCATCCTCCCAGTCTCCTGCCCCTACAGCACACCATCCTCCCAGTCTCCTGCCCCTACAGCATCATCCTCCCAGTCTCCTGCCCCTACAGCACCATCCTCCCAGTCTCCTGCCCCTACAGCACCATCCTCCCAGTCTCCTGCCCCTACAGCACCATCCTCCCAGTCTCCTGCCCCTACAGCACCATCCTCCCAGTCTCCTGCCCCTACAGCACACCATCCTCCCAGTCTCCTGCCCCTACAGCACACCATCCACAGCTGCCCCTACAGCACACCATCCACAGCTGCCCCTACAGCACACCATCCACAGCTGCCCCTACAGCACACCATCCACAGCTGCCCCTACAGCACACCATCCACAGCTGCCCCTACAGCACACCAGCCACAGCTGCCCCTACAGCACACCATCCACAGCTGCCCCTACAGCACACCATCCACAGCTGCCCCTACAGCACACCATCCACAGCTGCCCCTACAGCACACCATCCACAGCTGCCCCTACAGCACACCATCCACAGCTGCCCCTACAGCACACCATCCACAGCTGCCCCTACAGCACACCATCCACAGCTGCCCCTACAGCACACCAGCCACAGCTGCCCCTACAGCACACCATCCACAGCTGCCCCTACAGCACACCAGCCACAGCTGCCCCTACAGCACACCAGCCACAGCTGCCCCTACAGCACACCAGCCACAGCTGCCCCTACAGCACACCATCCACAGCTGCCCCTACAGCACACCATCCACAGCTGCCCCTACAGCACACCATCCACAGCTGCCCCTACAGCACACCATCCACAGCTGCCCCTACAGCACACCAGCCACAGCTGCCCCTACAGCACACCATCCACAGCTGCCCCTACAGCACACCATCCACAGCTGCCCCTGCCCCTACAGGCCACAGCACACCATCCACAGCTGCCCCTACAGCACACCATCCACAGCTGCCCCTACAGCACACCATCCACAGCTGCCCCTACAGCACACCATCCACAGCTGCCCCTACAGCACACCATCCACAGCTGCCCCTACAGCACACCAGCCACAGCTGCCCCTACAGCACACCATCCACAGCTGCCCCTACAGCACACCATCCACAGCTGCCCCTACAGCACACCATCCACAGCTGCCCCTACAGCACACCATCCACAGCTGCCCCTACAGCACACCATCCACAGCTGCCCCTACAGCACACCATCCACAGCTGCCCCTACAGCACACCATCCACAGCTGCCCCTACAGCACACCATCCACAGCTGCCCCTACAGCACACCATCCACAGCTGCCCCTACAGCACACCATCCACAGCTGCCCCTACAGCACACCAGCCACAGCTGCCCCTACAGCACACCATCCACAGCTGCCCCTACAGCACACCATCCACAGCTGCCCCTACAGCACACCATCCACAGCTGCCCCTACAGCACACCATCCACAGCTGCCCCTACAGCACACCATCCACAGCTGCCCCTACAGCACACCAGCCACAGCTGCCCCTACAGCACACCAGCCACAGCTGCCCCTACAGCACACCATCCACAGCTGCCCCTACAGCACACCATCCACAGCTGCCCCTACAGCACACCATCCACAGCTGCCCCTACAGCACACCATCCACAGCTGCCCCTACAGCACACCATCCACAGCTGCCCCTACAGCACACCATCCACAGCTGCCCCTACAGCACACCATCCACAGCTGCCCCTACAGCACACCATCCACAGCTGCCCCTACAGCACACCAGCCACAGCTGCCCCTACAGCACACCATCCACAGCTGCCCCTACAGCACACCATCCACAGCTGCCCCTACAGCACACCATCCACAGCTGCCCCTACAGCACACCATCCACAGCTGCCCCTACAGCACACCATCCACAGCTGCCCCTACAGCACACCATCCACAGCTGCCCCTACAGCACACCATCCACAGCTGCCCCTACAGCACACCAGCCACAGCTGCCCCTACAGCACACCATCCACAGCTGCCCCTACAGCACACCAGCCACAGCTGCCCCTACAGCACACCAGCCACAGCTGCCCCTACAGCACACCAGCCACAGCTGCCCCTACAGCACACCATCCACAGCTGCCCCTACAGCACACCATCCACAGCTGCCCCTACAGCACACCATCCACAGCTGCCCCTACAGCACACCATCCACAGCTGCCCCTACAGCACACCAGCCACAGCTGCCCCTACAGCACACCATCCACAGCTGCCCCTACAGCACACCATCCACAGCTGCCCCTACAGCACACCATCCACAGCTGCCCCTACAGCACACCATCCACAGCTGCCCCTACAGCACACCATCCACAGCTGCCCCTACAGCACACCATCCACAGCTGCCCCTACAGCACACCATCCACAGCTGCCCCTACAGCACACCATCCACAGCTGCCCCTACAGCACACCATCCACAGCTGCCCCTACAGCACACCATCCACAGCTGCCCCTACAGCACACCATCCACAGCTGCCCCTACAGCACACCATCCACAGCTGCCCCTACAGCACACCAGCCACAGCTGCCCCTACAGCACACCATCCACAGCTGCCCCTACAGCACACCAGCCACAGCTGCCCCTACAGCACACCAGCCACAGCTGCCCCTACAGCACACCATCCACAGCTGCCCCTACAGCACACCAGCCACAGCTGCCCCTACAGCACACCAGCCACAGCTGCCCCTACAGCACACCATCCACAGCTGCCCCTACAGCACACCATCCACAGCTGCCCCTACAGCACACCATCCACAGCTGCCCCTACAGCACACCATCCACAGCTGCCCCTACAGCACACCATCCACAGCTGCCCCTACAGCACACCATCCACAGCTGCCCCTACAGCACACCATCCACAGCTGCCCCTACAGCACACCATCCACAGCTGCCCCTACAGCACACCATCCACAGCTGCCCCTACAGCACACCATCCACAGCTGCCCCTACAGCACACCAGCCACAGCTGCCCCTACAGCACACCATCCACAGCTGCCCCTACAGCACACCAGCCACAGCTGCCCCTACAGCACACCAGCCACAGCTGCCCCTACAGCACACCAGCCACAGCTGCCCCTACAGCACACCATCCACAGCTGCCCCTACAGCACACCATCCACAGCTGCCCCTACAGCACACCATCCACAGCTGCCCCTACAGCACACCATCCACAGCTGCCCCTACAGCACACCATCCACAGCTGCCCCTACAGCACACCATCCACAGCTGCCCCTACAGCACACCATCCACAGCTGCCCCTACAGCACACCATCCACAGCTGCCCCTACAGCACACCATCCACAGCTGCCCCTACAGCACACCATCCACAGCTGCCCCTACAGCACACCAGCCACAGCTGCCCCTACAGCACACCATCCACAGCTGCCCCTACAGCACACCATCCACAGCTGCCCCTACAGCACACCATCCACAGCTGCCCCTACAGCACACCATCCACAGCTGCCCCTACAGCACACCATCCACAGCTGCCCCTACAGCACACCATCCACAGCTGCCCCTACAGCACACCATCCACAGCTGCCCCTACAGCACACCATCCACAGCTGCCCCTACAGCACACCATCCACAGCTGCCCCTACAGCACACCATCCACAGCTGCCCCTACAGCACACCATCCACAGCTGCCCCTACAGCACACCATCCACAGCTGCCCCTACAGCACACCATCCACAGCTGCCCCTACAGCACACCATCCACAGCTGCCCCTACAGCACACCATCCACAGCTGCCCCTACAGCCCTCACACAAACACCACACAACCCATTTATCCATCACTAATTCTAACGCAGCAATTACCTCAGCTAATGCTAACAAGCTAATGCTAACAAGCTAATGCTAACAAGCTAATGCTAACAAGCTAATGCTAACAAGCTAATGCTAACAAGCTAATGCTAACAAGCTAATGCTAACAAGCTAATGCTAACAAGCTAATGCTAACAAGCTAATGCTAACAAGCTAATGCTAACAAGCTAACCTAGCTCCCGATGCTAGCTGCTCCCAGACCGCGCAGAGAGCCACAGAGACCCTCTCAGCCGGGCTCCTTCCCCCACATCAGAGGGGGAGCCTGGGTGTGTGCTCCCTGTGGTGGAGGGTGGTCGTGTGAAGAGCAGGTGGTTGTAAAAGGTTAACAATGGAGAGTATTTTGGGGGTAACATGGCTGTGACAGAGACCAACAACAACAGCGGGACTCTCTGCTGCTTTCACACCGCGCAGAGCAGCCCGAGCCCCCGCAGACAGCACCAGGACAGCCCGGGGATGGAGTGATGTGTCTGTGTCCAGGGAAAAGCCAGGGTTCATACTTACATGTTCTGTTGTGTTCTGGGCAGAACCACGGCGCGTTTGGACCGAGGCAATATGGCGGACAGTGGGCGCGATGGCTGATGGGTAATGAGGCCCAGAGGGGGACCCCGACTTAAAGACACACGCTCCATTGTGTCTGGTTAAAGCTGGGGTACCTGTTTTATTTATGCTTTATGTAAAGGTTTAAAGGAGGGTTTTTTGTGAGGAAAGAACTCTCCTCTTTTGAACACAGCTCTGGTCTTATTTGACAATCCTCCTGGACCACTGTTTCAGTATTTACGAGATAATATTGTACATACACTGAGGTCAACATAGGATGAACCAGAAATTAAATTAAAAGGTTTACAGGAGGATTTTCCTCTTCCAGGTGGATCATCAACACTATTGGTCCTCCCAACTGTCAATCATTCTGGTGATACGTGCTCGTCAAATACAATACAATAACAATGTCTCTTATATTTCCCTAAATCACAGCAGCATCATCTCAGAGACTGAACAAAACCATTGAAATCACAGATCAGAGAATCAACAGTTAACACACATGAAGAATATAGAACACATGTTGATAAATGTCACACATGTTGATAAATGTCACACATGTTGATAAATGTCATACATGTTGATAAATGTCACACATGTTGATAAATGTCACACATGTTGATAAATGTCACACATGTTGATAAATGTCATACATGTTGATAAATGTCACACATGTTGATAAATGTCACACATGTGATAAATGTCATACATGTTGATAAATGTCATACATATGATAAATGTCACAAATGTGATAAATGTCATACATGTTGATAAATGTCATACATATGATAAATGTCACACATGTGATAAATGTCATACATGTTGATAAATGTCACACATGTGATAAATGTCATACATGTTGATAAATGTCATACATGTGATAAATGTCACACATGTGATAAATGTCACACATGTGATAAATGTCATACATGTGATAAATGTCACACATGTGATAAATGTCATACATGTTGATAAATGTCACACATGTGATAAATGTCATACATGTTGATAAATGTCATACATGTTGATAAATGTCACACATGTGATAAATGTCACACATGTGATAAATGTCACACATGTGATAAATGTCATACATGTTGATAAATGTCATACATGTTGATAAATGTCATACATGTGATAAATGTCATACATGTGATAAATGTCATACATGTGATAAATGTCACACATGTTGATAAATGTCACACATGTTGATAAATGTCATACATGTGATAAATGTCACACATGTTGATAAATGTCATACATGTGATAAATGTCATACATGTTGATAAATGTCACACATGTTGATAAATGTCACACATGTTGATAAATGTCATACATGTTGATAAATGTCACACATGTTGATAAATGTCACACATGTTGATAAATGTCACACATGTTGATAAATGTCATACATGTTGATAAATGTCACACATGTTGATAAATGTCACACATGTGATAAATGTCATACATGTTGATAAATGTCATACATATGATAAATGTCATACATGTTGATAAATGTCATACATATGATAAATGTCACACATGTGATAAATGTCATACATGTTGATAAATGTCATACATATGATAAATGTCACACATGTGATAAATGTCATACATGTTGATAAATGTCACACATGTGATAAATGTCATACATGTTGATAAATGTCATACATGTTGATAAATGTCACACATGTGATAAATGTCACACATGTGATAAATGTCACACATGTGATAAATGTCACACATGTGATAAATGTCATACATGTGATAAATGTCACACATGTTGATAAATGTCACACATGTTGATAAATGTCACACATGTTGATAAATGTCACACATGTTGATAAATGTCATACATGTTGATAAATGTCACACATGTTGATAAATGTCACACATGTGATAAATGTCATACATGTTGATAAATGTCATACATGTGATAAATGTCATACATGTGATAAATGTCATACATGTTGATAAATGTCACACATGTGATAAATGTCATACATGTTGATAAATGTCATACATGTGATAAATGTCACACATGTGATAAATGTCATACATGTTGATAAATGTCACACATGTGATAAATGTCATACATGTTGATAAATGTCATACATGTTGATAAATGTCACACATGTGATAAATGTCACACATGTGATAAATGTCACACATGTGATAAATGTCACACATGTGATAAATGTCATACATGTGATAAATGTCACACATGTTGATAAATGTCACACATGTTGATAAATGTCACACATGTGATAAATGTCATACATGTTGATAAATGTCATACATGTTGATAAATGTCACACATGTTGATAAATGTCATACATGTGATAAATGTCATACATGTTGATAAATGTCACACATGTGATAAATGTCATACATGTGATAAATGTCACACATGTGATAAATGTCATACATGTTGATAAATGTCATACGTGTGATAAATGTCATACATGTTGATAAATGTCATACATGTGATAAATGTCACACATGTTGATAAATGTCATACATGTGATAAATGTCATACATGTTGATAAATGTCACACTTGTGATAAATGTCACACATGAGATAAATGTCACACATGTTGATAAATGTCATACACGTGATGAATGTCATACATGTGATAAATGTCATACATGTGATAAATGTCATACATGTTTATAAATGTCACACATGTTGATAAATGTCATACATGTGATAAATGTCATACATGTGATAAATGTCACACATGTTGATAAATGTCACACATGTGATAAATGTCATACATGTTGATAAATGTCATACATGTGATAAATGTCACACATGTTGATAAATGTCATACATGTGATAAATGTCATACATGTTGATAAATGTCACACTTGTGATAAATGTCACACATGAGATAAATGTCACACATGTTGATAAATGTCATACACGTGATGAATGTCATACATGTGATAAATGTCATACATGTGATAAATGTCATACATGTTTATAAATGTCACACATGTTGATAAATGTCATACATGTGATAAATGTCATACATGTGATAAATGTCACACATGTTGATAAATGTCACACATGTTGATAAATGTCACACATGTGATAAATGTCATACATGTTGATAAATGTCACACATGTTGATAAATGTCATACATGTGATAAATGTCACACATGTTGATAAATGTCACACATGTTGATAAATGTCACACATGTTGATAAATGTCATACATGTGATAAATGTCATACATGTTGATAAATGTTATGCATGTTGATAAATGTCATACATGTGATAAATGTCATACATGTTGATAAATGTCATACATGTTGATAAATGTCATACATGTGATAAATGTAATACGTGATAAATGTCACATATGTGATAAATGTCATACATGTGTCATCTCTGCTTCTCTGCAACACATACACTTTATCTGTATGGCACACTTCATCCAAACACATGGTCTCAACACAGTAGTATTTATCTGTATGGCACACTTAATCCAAACACATGGTCTCAACACAGTAGTATTTACAGTCCTCTAACACATGACTAGAGACGGTCAGAAAAGACCTGCCCAGAGACTAACAGGGACTACAGTCTTTAGTTTAGCCTCAGCCACAGAAACTCAACAGGATTTCCACCAAAACAAACATGACCTCATCATTTAGTCAGAGAAACAATATTAATGATACATATTGAAATTAGGACAAGTTGAATAAAACAGATTCCAAACAAAAGATTAGATGCATTTTACAAATAAAGTAGATTGTGTGAACAGAAACAGCAACCCATAACCCTGCCCACAACCCTGACACTGGAGGAGTATCTCAAAACACTTCCTTTAATAACAACGAAAGGAGCTAAAACCTGCACAAAAACAACAATATTAACACACATTTCCCACTTCCTCAACACCTCCAGTCTCCTGCCCTCAACATCCTCCCAGTCTCCTGCCCCTACAGCACACCATCCTCCCAGTCTCCTGCCCCTACAGCATCATCTCCCAGTCCTCCCTACAGCACCATCCTCCCGTCCTGCCCTCCCATCCTCCCAGTCTCCTGCCCTACAGCACCATCCTCCAGTCTCCTGCCCTAACAGCACACCATCCTCCCAGTCTCCTGCCCCTACAGCACCATCCTCGCAGTCTCCTGCCCTACAGCACCATCCTCCCAGTCTCCTGCCCCTACAGCACCCTCCAGTCCTGCCCCTACAGCACTCACCCTCCCAGTCCTGCCCTACAGCACCATCCTCCCAGTCTCCTGCCCCTACAGCACCATCCTCCCAGTCTCCTGCCCCTACAGCACCATCCTCCCAGTCTCCTGCCCCTACAGCACAATCCTCGCCCCTACAGCACAATCCTCCCAGTCTCCTGCCCCTACAGCAAAATTGACATTTATCAAATGTCATACATGTGATAAATGTAATACGTGATAAATGTCACACATGTGATAAATGTCATACATGTTGATAAATGTCCTACATGTTGATAAATGTCATACATGTTGATAAATGTCATACATGTGATAAATGTCATACAAGTTGATAAATTTCATACATGTGATAAATGTCATACATGTGATAAATGTCATACATGTGATAAATGTCATACATGTGATAAATGTCATACATGTTGATAAATGTCACACATGTGATAAATGTCATACATGTGATAAATGTCACACATGTGATAAATGTCATACATGTGATAAATGTCATCCATGTTGATAAATGTCACACGTGATAAATGTCATACATGTTGATAAATGTCACACATGTGATAAATTTCATACATGTGATGTCATACATGTTGATAAATGTCACACATGTTGATAAATGTCACACATTTTGATAAATGTCATACATGTGATAAATGTCATACATGTTGATAAATGTCACACGTGATAAATGTCATACATGTGATAAATGTCACACATGTTGATAAATGTCATACATGTGATAAATGTCATACACGTGATAAATGTCATACATGTGGATAAATGTCATACATGTTGATAAATGTCAGACATGTGATAAATGTCATACATGTTGATAAATGTCATAAGTTATATATATATATAACTTATATCTAACATATATATATATATAACTTATAAGTTATATATATATGTTAGATATATCTAACATATATATATATATAACTTATATCTAACATATATATATAACTTATATCTAACATATATATAACTTATATCTAACATATATATATAAATTATATCTAACATATATATATAATTAATCCTTATATATAACATATATATAACATATATATAACATATATATAACTTATATCTATATATATAACTTAACTGTCATACTAAAGCTAGCATAGATATTAGATATGTTCCTACTGTTGTATTTTTATTATTAGATTTGTGTGTTTTTAATTGTGCCATTTCACAATTAAACTTTGATTTTTTTGCACATATATAGAAACTGTTTACACTTTATGTTCATATTCTAAGAAAAATGGTCCAAGAAATCCTACATTCTGCCAAGGTTTGTTGACTTCTAACCTATGAGCAGATACTATTTTATGTGAATCGTCCAAAAGCAAGAATAATTCCTAATCCGTGAGTGATATGGACCGTGGCTGTAGCTGTGACTCAGACTCTGTAACGCTTCTCCTTTTGCTAAAGTGGGAGTTTTAATTACAAACTCTGGGAGTGTGAAAATGTGTGAATTATGAAAGTGAACGTCCTTGATCCACTGAATGTGCATGTTGTGTTTTGCGGTTTCCTTTAAGCTAACAGTTTTGACATTGGAATTTTCAAAAATTTCAAACTAATGGGATTTGTTTGAATTAATGAGTTAATTATAAGGTGCTGAATATGTTTAAACATTTTGCTGAAATATCTTGAGGGAAAATAAATTCATAAAAATGGATCATCGGTACAGGCTCATTCATCATTCTATTTTCCGGTCTAAGTATATTATATAGTGTGGCCATATTTGCATCTGAAAGCCTGGTCCACCTGATCTCACAAACTAAGCAGAGCAGAGCGCTGGCTGGTTGCACGTTGATGGGAGAATGGCTGCAGTAAAGGGCTAAATTCTGTCCTTAGGTAAGACACAGTACCTATGGGTCTGATGTAGGAATAGAGTTTCTTTATATGGCTTCATTAGTTGAAATCATTGCTATCCACTTGTCTGCCTGAGTCCATGAATTACTCTGATTTACAAACAAGATGAATGCACCTTTTAGTCCAGTCAGAAATGAATCACGGAGCAAAAGTCAAAAGTCTGAGCTCATGAATTTCATTATTAGTCCGTAGTCCTTGTGGAGGCTCCTTTCTGTTTAGTGCTTCTCAAAATCTGACACTTTAAATGCTTTCAATGCCATTATTTCTGAGCTTTTGAATTTTCACAAGAATGCAGGGTCTTACACTACAATGTGTGTGTGTTCTCTAACAAGATCCAAATGTGACTTGATATGGAATAAACTTGCTTTCTGTCTATTGTTATTGTTATTTTTGACAAGAAGCACCACACTTCAGAGCGGTCTGTGAGGATTTTGCTATAATTTCTAAAGTTTTGAGTTTGACATATTTACTTTTATGTGTTACTGCATAAATCAGTCCCAACAGTTCAGCCTTGGCAAATTGTTTTGTTGTGTCACACTCACCATCTTGAGTTAAATCTCCATGGTTTAGCATTCTCTATGATTCTGTAAATGTATTTGGATATTGTCTTTGTAAATCCAAACGTGAGCCATCAAGATTGACCAATCAGATGCCTTCAGCCGTATTTACGAACATTAAACCTGCCCTGTTTAATGTGAATCTCCACTACAAAAAGTGATACAATATTAGTCCATAATTTGTCTTAATTTGAGAATCTGACTAAGGATTTGCTAATGGGCCAAACTGTTGCATTTCTTTCCCTCATTCCAAGAGAGATATTTGTTGTACCTTTTTAAAACAAGATCATTTTCCCAGTTTCATTGGCAAATCTTGTTTCAAGGCAGTCAAAATGTGGTCAAATTAAGGTCATTTTTTGTCAGCTTTGAGCCATTTTTACATTATTTCTCATCTGTTTGCAGTGTAATGCCGTCGCAACAACGCCCATACAGGGAATTTGGCTCTAGCTTAATGGGGAACGCACATATAAACTTCTTGCTTTGACGTTTTCTGTTTGAGCTTTGTCCTTGAAATGATATGTACCGGTAAAAATACATTGTCAACTTGGGTCACACTTCCACTCCTGCGTCCACTCCTAACATCCAGTCTGTGGCCTTAGCTGGAGCCATGGTGTCCATCAGAGTCTAATGCAGAGAAATGCACTCGCTCCGTCCTTCTGCGCGGGTTAAAAGCTGCTTGTAAGAGGGCTGCCTTCTCTCTGGCAGCAGCGCCCTGGGTTGACATACAGTAAGTGGGGTTGCATTAGTGCATTCTAACTCACGGAGCATGAAATAAAAGATGGTGGCGGTTAAAACGCTTAATAGGATTTGTTAATAGCTTTCATATATTATATTTGCTCAGATTTGACACTGGGGCTGCGCAAATCTTCTTAGGAAACAGCTCTGCACAGCGGGACGAGTCACGGAGAAAATTAAAATCCAATAATAGAGAAAGTGTGAACTCAAATGATTGTACAAGCAACGTCCTATGTACAGAAGTTGGTGAAGTTAGCAAAGGCAGTGTTAGAAATATATTTGTATTCATATTTATCAGTAATATATGCGTCATTATCCTTCTCTAACACTTGTCTCCCACATGATTTCTCACCATTTATTGCACCGTTGTGACAAAAATAAACGTGATATATAACTCTCACGCTGGAGTACCTGACTTTTTATTGTTTCATAAATCCCAACATAAATAGTTTTAGCTCTACCTGACATTTAGTGAAAAAAAAATCATTGACACACTGAGAGCCGATTGTCCGAGAGAGGTCTAGTTCTCATTTTATAATTACTTTTTTATTTTTTTTTACTGAAAATCTAAGAATTCTTCTCACATAACACCGTGTCTCATAGTGTGGGATTCTAATGCGGTTGATCTTTGGCTCAGGTAGGAATGAGAAAGGAATTCACTTGAGAGCTGGGTCTATTCTTAGCACTTCTCCAGAAGCATTTTTTATTCTAACGATTCCTCGTATCAACATTGCTTTGGGTCGTCGTGCCTTTAAATGCCGTGTCAGCTACAGCTCTGTGCAACTCATTTCTCTCTGACTTCAAGCAAAAAGGTTGGTATTGCGCAAGTATTCGGTTCACAGCTGCTTCTTTAATAATGTGCGTCCATTTCTGTTTAATAATACTTTCAAATATGGACTGGTGATTTGGTTTTATCTTGGAACTGATAGATTCATTTTAAATTAGCTCTATTTGTAAAACAGGGTTGCCTTTATAGGCTTTGAAATAATTCAAAAACAAAATTATCAGAACTCGGCTCTTTGCTAAGCGCTTTGGGTGACCTTAGTCTGTAAAAATATTATCATTATATATTTAACTATTCATTTCTAAAGATAAGAAAATAGATTATGTAAAACCTGCCATGGTAGCCCAAAACCATCAATGCTGCAAGTTATTAATGGTAATTGAAAATCATTTTAGGGGACACTAAATATTGGCCCACGAGCCTTAGTTTGTCTGATTTACATGTTTACTGAATAAGAGCTTATCTCGATTCTAGGCTTTTCCTCGAGGGTCAGTTCATTTTCAACTTGTGAACACGGAGTTACTTTTCTCAAACGCATGTGCCAGTGTGTGTGTGTGTGAATGGTTGGTGGTGGTCGTACTGGGGCCTCGCTTCAGTCAGTTTGCTCCAGGGCAGATGTGGCTTCAGTAGTAGAAATATAGACTAGTGTAGTTCACTTGATTTCAGTGTATTTATCTATTTTTGTTTTACTGTTTTACTCATGCAGGCTTATTGAAAATATTATTACTTGTTATTCATATTTCTTAACTCATTGACTGCCAGCCTTTTTGTTGATTTCACTGATTCTCAAGACCCACAGAATATTATTTTGTAAAACTATATGAAAAATGAAACCATATTCTGGACGACTGGATTGTCTACTTTCATCAGCAAAAACAAGTTTGTTTCTAGCTATTTTTTTTGTCCAGTAATCCCCAGTCGAACAGAGGGTCTCAGAAAAACACGTCAATGGCTGTCAATGAGTTAACAAGTGGAAAAATCTCTAACTGTAGCCATTTTTTTCTTTTTTTGGAGCCACTTTTCATCTGCATTTTGCATCTTTGAGTGCCCAAAAAAGCACTATTGAGAAAATCAATGCATTATTATTTATTAAAAAATATATTAATACATCTTTAACATTTTTATCAAGCGGATTACAAAAATAAATGGCAAATCATCAATATCCTTCAAAACTTGTGCGGTCTGTGCCTATAGAATTGTCAAGCAGCTGCTGTCACACTTTCCCTGCACCACCTCGA